AATAGCTTCTCTGTGGCTGCACCACAGAGATGAGGCCTCATTTGGGAAAGCACCACAACACTTAATTCTGTCTTATTAACAAGCATTGCCGCTGCATTGTTATGGCTCCTTCTAGTAGTTTTTGTTATTTGTTGTATGTAATTCTGTAGACAACTTTCGAGTTTAGGTCTTATCACAGTAAGTGATATAGAATTGTAGGAGGAAGCTGTGTTGTAACATAAGGTTAGTGCACAAGTGTGGCAATCCTTATACATCTGCATTCTGGCAATATCTTTTCACACTTTCTATGCAAATAAACTCTTTGAATTAAATAGCAGTGTGCTTTCTATGAGAGTTACTTGGGTGAATGTTCAGTTGGGTGGACAGCTGGAGAGCAGCTACATTCAGCAATGCCAGTACATTCTCTGACACAGCTCTGGATTCAGAGTAATGACTCGGAGGCAAAGTAAGATAAACAAGTATTTATTAAAAATAACACACAACTAAACCACACAAAGTGTTATACACATACAACAAGTTCATACAACATACTATACAACTAACAAATAGTTGAGTTTCTCCCCATTGTTCCAGATTCTGAACTGCAAATTTTTTTTTTCTGAGATGTTGTCACATAGCACTAGGCAACAGAAGGTAGGACCTTGTGTGTGGCTAATCTGGTAACTGTGGTTCAGTGTCAAATCGAGGGACGAAAACGTTGTCTTGGACAAAAGCTAGGAGGTCAAAAACCGGGAAGGTTCTGCGAGCACAAGGTACAAAAATGGTAGGCGAAGTCGCAGTCGAGGACGGGTGCTTGGGGTCAAAAGTCAGAAAGGTTCTGAGGAGGCAATGTACAGTACCAAAACAGGAGGCGAAGTCATAGTCGTGGACGAGAGCGAAGAGTCTAAATGCCGGGAGAGGAGATATCTTAAGGAAAAGGCTGGGAATGTACAAGTACGGGACTCAGGAAGGAAACCTCAATAGTGAGTGAGGAAAGGAAGACAAGTGAGGGTTTAAGTAGTGATGAGTTAATTGGCGTGTGGGCGTTTAGGGAGAGTAGAGCTCATGGAAATGTGGGAGCGCTTGTATGCCTGCGTGCAATTCGTGACAGATGTGAACTTTCAAAAAATGAATGGAAATACCCCCCTCCCCCTGCCTTAGCTCCTTACACTATACAAATCAACAACATTAACATGGAAAGATGGAGAGTTACAGAGCTTGTATTACAACTTGTGTTACAGAGCTGTACTAGAAGAATAATTACAAAATAAAGACATTTTAAAAGACAACCACTGTGTATTTAGAAAATAAGTTAGAGGTCTTGGAGCAAACTATCAGGGACAGTAGATACACCAGAGCTCATGAGATGTGAGTGCGAGGAATTATGAATCTGTGAGGTTCAGTGAGGTTCTTGCACATGGTCTTTCCCTGGAAGGTTACTGGTCATACCAGGACACTGGGAGCACAACACACAAATGTACAGGGACTGTGCAGGTGTGTCCTCAGGACAACAGAATTACAACACCTGGGACAACACATAGGTTGTCAAATAGCTGTTAGCACTCAGAAGGGAAAAAAGATTTACTAGTCACAGACATTAAAATTGCAAAAATGTTTCAATCTCCACAGTCCATGACCAAGAGACAGTTACCTACTGAAGTCTGAAACAGAATATGAGAAAAGGAGATAATTAATATTACAGAATCCTTCTAGACTGATGGCAACATCACTGTCATAACACTTCTCCTGCCATTCTGACTCTCTAAACACAGAGCTGTGGGACAGACAAGAGTGTTGATGAAATTATTATGCCGGACAGGAGATCATGACTGAGGGATCTACAGCATCATACAGCAGGAGTTTAGCTCAGGACCAAACAGGACTAGAAATCTCTCTACACCAAGCCTACTGTCACTGGGGTCAGGAAGGAAACACCATAAAATTGCTACTTGCTAATATTGCTATTTGCTAATTGCTAACGTGAGACTAACAGTCCATTTAATATGTATGTTAGGGATTTTCTACTGTTATATTTAACACCTTGTCTCTGTTTAAGAGACCCACTGTCCAGTTAAGGATTAATTCCAGTTTAGTTAGTAACGTTAAAAAAGAAAGTATTTAAATCCTCAACAGTTAATGGTTAGTTAAAATAAAAAAATAAGAAGTATTTGCATTGTTACTGTTGTAACAGAAGGAATAAGGTTCTTGATCCCGAGATGAAGTAGAACAGATGAGTTTATTGCATGCAAGGAACAATAAAGCCGAAGTCTTGTTTCCCGCAAGAAACAACAAAACCGAAGTATTGTTCGATGTGCCGGTACAAACTTTTGGATTATATAGTATCTTCTTCTCCGTTTCTGACGTCACTCGGTCTGATGGTAAAGAGGGGGGTTCATGGTATTTGGCCAGTTTACGATGTCCTGGCCAAATGGTCAGTTTAAGATTACACCCAGGGGGGTTCCTAGCTTGCATCTGCAATCCTTATCAGTTAACCCCCTTTCCTGCCATAAACCCCAGCTTGTGACTTAGAAGTCTAAACCTCATACAGAAAGGATTAAATTCAAACCCCCGTCTTCACATCTTTCTTCATTACTTTGTTGTATTTTTTACTTTAATTGCTCCTTATGAGACTGTACAACAGATGGGATTAAATAGGCTCAGTGAGAGGAACAGGACTCATGGCAGCTGTGCACCTGTAATGTGTCTGTGGGCTCCTGACTTCTGCATTTTCCACACCAGTCACACCTGCCACTAACAGCATATTCACATGAAACTGATAAACACTAAAATTTTGTTTTTTTCTAAATATATGAACATTTAGAAGGAACAGCAGCACAGAGGTTAGCAATCCTACTGTCACGGGGGCTGGTTCTGACTCCCGTGAAGTGTGTTATTAAAGACCCTATGCAGGATGGTATAATCCAGAAATGAATGGAGAAGGACATCAGGGAAGACACGGCGAGGAATGGATGGGATGACGGACAGGGGGTCAGTGAAGACTGTGATCCGGTGCATAGGGGAAACGCAGACGAACGAGTCAGAAAGGAAGTCCAATGGAGGAATTCAGGGCGCAGTGCAAGGTCCAGGTGCCGGGAGATCCAACAGAGATGAAGGCGACTAAAAGCATGAACAGGGAACTGGGACCAGGAACAAGAAGGGTTAAAACCATAATGGGACAAGGTGCTCAGTAGGTCAGGATGTCTTGGGAAAAGGCCTTGCCCTCGGACTTCTCCTGAGCCCGGTGGACAGGCGGGCCTTCAGACGTCCATCTTCCAAAGCTGAGCCCAGAACTACGGAGATGCCGGGCTTAAATAGGGAAATGGGGATAGGAAACAGCTGGGATAAATAAGGCTGGGGAACACAATGAAAAAGGTAGGAGCACCCTCTAGAGGAGAGATGACGTTCGTGACTCCTACCTCACAGCACTGGGGCCCTGGGTTCCATTCCAGACCTTGGGTTCTACCTGTGTAAAGTTTGTGTGATTTCCTTGTGTTCATGTGGTAGGTTTATTGGCTTCTGGAAAAATTGGCCCTGATGTGTGTGTGTGTTCCCTGCAATGGACTGGTGTCCCATCCAGGATGATTCCTGCCTTGCATTACCAGCTTCACAGGATAGACACTGGGCCTCCATGACCTTAAATTTGATTAGTGATTATTGAAAGAGATGTGATACGTAAGAAATACAGCTGAAGCCTGTTTACTTCTAATCTTTAATCTGTAAAGATTTATTAATTAGAGATTAAAGCAGATAGTTTGTTTTTCATCATCTTTTACTTCAGTTTCAGAAGAAGTTTATATATTTTTTTATTATTGAAGTTCAGTGTGTTTGTGTGCAGCTGAGCTCCTCCACAGGCTGTGTCCTATGTCACTGCTTTCACCCACAGCACCTGCAGTAGGTCCCAGCTGCAGCAGTGCAGTTGCTATGCAGTCCTGCTGAGAGTGGTTTTTGTACGAGTGTGTAACACTGTGTGAACACCCATTTACTGTTTAGGTAGTGTTGACCTTGACAGTAATAATCTGCTGCATCTTCAGCCTGGACTCCTGTGATGGTCAGAGTGAAGTCAGTCCCAGATCCACTGCCACTGAAACGCTCTGGGATCCCAGTCTGACGGGTAGTTGCATCATAGATCAGGAGATTAGGCGCTTCTCCAGCTTTCTGTTGGTACCAGCTGAGGCGATTATTATTGTACACTGCAGGACTGGTCTTACAGTTCACAGTGAGTGTCTGTCCTGCAGCAATAGATATTCTAGGAGTCTGGGTCACAGAAATCTGTCCATTGGATTCTGAAAATGAAAAAAACATCACAAAAAGTATTGAAAATACCAATTTATTCTGTAAATCAGTAATACATTATATGATAGACATACAGTATGAAAACAGAATATATTAATAGGATATTTATGATGCTTTAATATTTTTTCTCTTTAACTAAATTAACATAAATCTTGATTTTTTTATTCACATAATATAAAAATATTTTAAATTCTATAAAATATCCAAATCCACTCCTACCCTGAACAGTGATGAGGAGTGTCCAGATAAAGATGGTGATGAAAGCCATTGTTGCTGTGGATTCTGTTGCCATGAAGGGCAGCTTTCAATTATGAAGTGTTAAACTCACAGGGCTATAAACACTCCCAGAGCACTGAAGCATGTGCTGCCAATGCAAAGTGTCTTTTTTATGCAAATTATCTTCCTGGGTTCAAGAGCACTTGTAGCCTGTCAGTGCTAGAAACACAGGCTTGATGTTGTGTGTTGTGACAGAACAAGATGAGCAGTTTAGCATGAACACTCCCAGGACAGCAGGACTAGACAGAGAGCAGCTTTATAAGGAGCAGAGGATGAGACATCAGCTGAGCCCTTATTCCACTCAAGACAGCAGAGTTTGGAGAGTCTGGTTAAAGCAGAACTTATCTATGTGTCTTCATATACAGCAAAAAAAAATGTCTTAACTTACTCTATGATCATGTAAGCCATACTATCTCTCATCAGGGTATATGTGCTCATTTCTTGCTAATTAGTAATTTTATAGTAAGTAGAGATAAAAGGGGCAGCATGGGGGTTAGCCCAGACTCAGGGGTTCAGACAATGTAGGAAAGAAACCTATGCCCTCAGGCCATGGACAGGACATCCGTACCCACAATGTTAAGCGAAGAGCAGATTAGACACAGGAAGTAAATAGGCTACACAACAAGGCACACCGGAAATACATGAATAATCACAGGGAACTAGGAACAGGACAGAAGTAGACCGCCCTCTAGGTGTACTGGGTGTAACACAAAGGCCAGAAGAACTGTGAACCTCTCTCTCAAGGAGAGTTACACAGAAATAATTCTGGTTCCTTCTGAGTGATATTCCAACAGAACAGTAATAGTGACTCTGCTGTCACCAGTAAAGCCTGTGAAACCTGTGTTAATGTTTCCAGCAGCAGCTTCAGTTTCTCACCACATCTTGAGATTTCATAGGCAAAAATACGTCGGGGACAGTCTGAGCTGAGTGCAGCTGGGCTGATTTGCCTAGTGTGGGGGAGAGTGGCTGGTTGAGGGAGGTGTCACACTGCAGAGGTGTCAGAGAACTGCATCTGTTCAGGGGCAGGAAAGCAAGAGAGCAGGTCATGAGTCTGGTCAGGCTGTTTTAAACAGCATCAGTAACACTTTATATGAAAAATTACTGAGGACTTATGAATATTAACTAGATACTTCAGCAGTTCGTTGCTTTAATCTTCTCTGTGAATAAGTTTTACTAATGTATTAGTGCTGAACATTTGAACTGCCCCTGTATAACAGTGGTAAAGGTACTAATTACATTTCTGAGTTATAAGTGTCTGAGTGATCAATTTCCCTTCGGGATCAATAAAGTCTTATCTATCTCTAAGTGTTTATATATTTGATATATTTAATAGTGTACACACTAACTAACTATATTGCACCAATAATAATTATGCAGCAGCAGCAGCGATGTCTGTCCATAACTGGCACCTATTCTGAAATTTGACCATTTGTCGTTCTCAGTCATAGGCAATGTATTTATATTAATATTTTGTCAAGTCTATGAGTGGGTGGCGCAAGTGTTAGAGTTCCTGCCTCATGGTATTAGGGCTCTGGGCCCAATTCCTGGGGTGCTGTCTGCATGGAGTTTAGATTTTCTCCCGTGTTTGCGTGGGTTTCCTCTGTTTCAGGGGAAACAGGTGCTCCTGTTTCCTACTACTGTCCAAAGTTAAGCTGCTAGGTTAATTGGTTTCTGGATGAATTTAAATATACTTTGACAGTGTCCAACTGTATAATCCCCTGCAAGTGGCTCTTTACTCTTCTCCCCAGGGGGCTGGAAACACCCCTATGGTCCGCTATGTGTGCAGAGCCTAATGCCCAGGGCTTCTTCACAGAGGGCCAGGTGTCCTGATGCACTGTTCTGTCGCATCCTGTTCTGTTCTCAACCAGCCCTTCTCAATCACAGCTGCAGTCAAACCTGTATGCAACCCTCATGTTACCCATAAATGTGTACTTATTGTCTGGTGTCTGTGTTAAGGGGGTCTTTGATCAGGGAAGGAAATATATAGGATAAGGCATGAAACTACACCAACACAGACCACAAACTACACCAACAATGTGGCCCATCAGATTAACTTAACATTTATACAGCCCTCAGCACCTGGTGCTGAAAAACCCTCCTTTTTTGCTCTGTGATGTGCTGAAACTAAACCATGAGTGTCTTTTTAAAAACAATCAATTCTGTGGAATTGTGGGAATTATAAGTTATATATAATATGCATGTTTTTGCATTGTTTAATCACAAATTTGCTTAATAAAAGGAACCTTGCTGGAGAGCTGGATCCTCATAGCAGGTTCAGTATCAAGTCTGTTCTTGTGTTTTGTTTTCATTGCAGTTTAACACACAAATCCAGTCTCACAAAAACATGTTGCAGTAAAGTCCAGAAGCACTTGATCAGCACGATTCTCCTCAGACAGGTCCTTTTGAATTACATTGCTTCTCAGATTATTAATCGGAAGTTCGTTAAACTGTTATTTCAGTGGAGAGTCAGAAATAAAGTAAATCTGCTCTCATAATCTTGAGCTAAAAAAATGACTGGTAGACCGAGGTCAAATCCAAGCAGTGTCGTAGTTGGTGGTAAGAAAGTAGAGAGCAAGCAGGGTCAGCGATAGATCAGATAACCCCAGATATTCTCAAGGACTGCAGAACTAATTTCAATCAGAAACTCGCAAAGCGTAGCCACAGTCTTAATACTTTTCAAACACCTGAATATTGTTTATAAATAGGTACAATTTCAAATGTTTTAGAAGGGAACTTTCACTAGCATTGGCATTTTCTAGAAAACCTATTCAACTGGGGAGAAGGACCATTTGGAAAATATTGTTTCTGAGGTTTTGTGTGCAAGCCGCCATGTTTTATAGTTTTCAGAGACAGACCCTGTTCCTATAGAGAACATGTGAAATAGAGCTGTAAAAAATGACTTTGTATCTTTTGTCCTTTAGTTTTTTGGGACTTGTTTCACTGTTAAAGTGAGCTCTGCTCAAAACAAGTTTCATCTGTCCTGCTGGCTTGAAAAAGTGTGCAGTTTGGTTTTGAAGATTAATCTGATTAGTGGTGCTGACAGATAAAATGTGCGCAGCATAAGCTCTCCCCAGAACAAAATATATTTTTCATTCCTGGATGCCGGTGTTTATTATGATTCACATGATTTCTATATTACTATTTATCATACACTAATCAAAAGATTTACCCACGCTGAGATTCACTTGGACACATGAGCTGCTGATGAGCTCACATTAATGATCACATAATGTGCATATCTGTGTTTGTGCCTTGTGATGGACTTTTGTCCTGTCCAGGGTGTATCTTGCCAATATAGTTTCCAGCTCCCCTGCAATGTACTGAGTAAGGTACAGATGCAGCCATTCAAAGTGTGCGGCACAGACACGTACCGGAGGTAATTGACGCAAAATACCGCGGTAAGTGATTGGTTGACCGACAGGGGCACTCGTGGTGCGTTGGTCGATCGTAGAAAGATTTAAATGTCTTTACTGTGCCCATTTTAATATTGAATATTTATATGGAATTTTACAACTGA